ATCTCCACCGGGGTAGGGGGCTCTGTTTGGCTGTAAATAACCTCAGGTGCTCAACTCCCAGCCCACTGCCCTCGAAACAGAGTCCTGAACTCTCTACCTTGCACAGCCTCTGCCCTGCCAGCTGTGCCAGGGTGGAACTGAGAAATCTCTTCGCTGTGCACCTTTCTGATCTCTTTGTCCAGCTGCACTGAGTGGGAACAAACTTTGTCCTCTGTCCTCTCTCCTTGCTGGAAGGGCAGCTGTGCATGGGGTTCCTGCCCAGAATACCTCAGCTTCCCTTTTAAAGAAAAGTCCCTCTCGGCACTCCTGCAACAGCACTGAGTTATTGTCCAGTTTTCCATACACAACACCTCTCCAAAAAGCCAAGACTCTCTCACAGTCATAGCTGGTCATGGCCTGTCTCTGCCTGACTCAGGTGCAGTTAGAATCCCTCCTTCTCTCTCTCTCTCTCTCTCTCTTGATTGGAATTTGCCACTGCAGCCATGGGTGTGCTGCTTGCTCTGTAGCCTGGATCTACCCGACTTTGTGTACCCAAGTCACTCCCAGCCTGGGTCTAGGGTTCCCTGCCCTGCGAGGGTAGGAAGCTGCAAAGCTTCGATCTCTGACCAGGCTCTCCATGGCTGCAGGCACCATGCAGGAGGTATTTCCCCTTCAACCTAAAAAATTTTCTTACTGCTTGTTGCGAAGTATCTCCTGTACTCCTTGGCTTCCAAACTTTAGATCAGCTAAGATTCTGTTGAATGTTCAGTTTATTTTTCAGACGATCAGCCAAGTGTCCAGGTTGGGGGCAAAAGCAAGTAGACTCAGACTCCACCTACTTGGCTGCCATCTTTAACTCAATTTTTTCTTTTTCTTTTTTTTAACTGTTGTTCAGTTACAGTTGTCCCAATATTTCCCCTGTTGCTCTCCCCTGCCCTGCCCAACCCAACCCCACTCTCTCAATCAATCCTCACCCTTTTGTCTGTGTCCATGGGTCCTTTATGCATGTTCTTCGACTAGACCCTTTGTTACCTCTTTCTCATAGCTTCATTTTTTAATATACTTTATTGATTATGCTATTACAGTTGTCCTATTTTTTCTCCTCTTTATCCTCTTCTGCCCTTTACTCCCCCTCCCACCATCATTCCCCCACCTTAGTTCATGTCCATGGTTCATACATGTAAATTCTATGGCTTCTCCATTTCCCATACTATTTTTAACCTCCCCCTGTCTATTTTGTACCTACTGTTTATGCTTCTTACTCCCTGTACATTTTCCCCATCCTCCCCCTCTTCCTCCCCTCCCCCTCCCACTGATGACCTTCCATGTGATCTCCATTTCTGTGTTTCTGTTCCTGTTCTAGTTGTTTGCTTAGCTCATTTTGTTTTTGTTGTTTTAGGCTCAGTTGTTGATAGCTGTGAATTTGTTATCATTTTACTGTTCATATTTTTGATCTTCTTCTTTTTCTTAGATAAGTCCCTTTAACATTTCATATAATAAGGGCTTGGTGATGATGAACTCCTTTAACTTGACCTTATCTGGGAAGCACTTTATCTGCCCTTCCATTCTAAATGATAGTTTTGCTGGATAGAGTCATCTTGGGTGTGGGTCCTTGCCTTTCATGACTTGGAATACTTGTTCCCAGACCCTTCTTGCCTGCAAGGTTTCTTATGAGAAATCAGCTGATATTCTCCTGGGAACTCCTTTGTAGGTAACTGTCTCCTTTTCTCTTGCTGCTTTTAAGATTCTCTCCCTGTCTTTAATCTTAGGTAATATAATTATGATGTGCCTTGGTATGTGCTTCCTTGGGTCCAACTTCTTTGAGACTCTGAGCTTTCTGAACTTCCAGGAAGTCTATTTCCTTTGCCACATTGGGGAAGCTCTCCTTCATTATTTTTTTCAAGTAAGTTTTCCATCTCTTGCTCTTCCTCTTCTCCTTCTGGCACCCTATGGTTCAGATGTTGGAGTACTTAAAGTTGTTCCAGAGGTTCCTAAACCTCTCCTCATTTTTTAAAATTCTTGTTTCTTCATTCTGTTCTAGTTGAATGTTTATTTCTTCCTTCTGCTCCAAATCGTTGATTTGAGTCCTGGTTTCCTTCCTGTCACTGTTGGTGCCCTGTACATTTTCTTTTATTTTACTTTTCATAGCTTTTACTTTTTCCTCTATTTTACAACCATACTCAACCATTTCTGTGTGCATCCTGATTACCAGTGTTTTGAACTCTGCACCTGATATGATGGCTGTGTCTTCATAGCTTAGTTGTATTTTTTCTGGAGCTTTGATCTGTTTTTTTCATTTGGGCCATATTTTTTTTTCTCAGCTCACCTGTTACATAGTAAAGGGTGTAGCCTTAGTTTTTTGCCAGGGTGGGGTAACCACACGTCGCTGCATTGTGGTGCTGCATGTGGGGGAGGGGTTAGAGAGGGAACAATGCCTCTTACTGAGCTCTTGGCCAGCTTTCTGTCACTTCCTCTGCTACCCACAAGCAAATTGGGCCCTTCTGGTGCTGATTTACAGGTGGGTGGTTTTGTGTATATTCTAGGATGCTGTGGGTCACTCCAACAAACTCTCCTGTGAGGCTGGGAGTTTCTCCCACTGCCTCAATCCCCACATGTTTTTTCAGTCAGAGGTTTCTAGACTTTATTTCCCCATGCTGGAACCCTGTGTTGTGTGGTCTATCTTGTTTCTTAGTTGTTCCTCCCAGTTGATCCACATGCAAATGTGGGACCACCCATTCTGCCAGCTGCTGCCTCACCCACCCAGGTCCTCCTGCTGCTCCCTTGCCTCAAGTCCTGTGTTCCCCACTGCCTGTCTCCACCCTCCCTACTGGTTTGGATGAGTATTTCTTCTTTAACTCCGTGGCTGTTGGACTTCCGTACAGTTCAATTTTCTGGCAGTTCTGGTTGTTTTTTGTTTTTAAATTTGTTGTTGTCCTTTTTGTTATGCAAGGAAGCAAAGTGTATCTACCTATGCTTCTATCTTGGCCAGAAATCTCTCATAGCTTTCTTAATCAAGGTTATACTAATTTATTGAACCCCTTTAAATCTAATCACTTCACATTTGGGCAGCTTACTCTACTAGTAGACAAGAAACACAATGCATGAATGTTTTTTTCCTTTTAAAAGAAAGTTCACATTAAGTTTAGAAAACTTGGGCAAAACCAAATTGTCTTACTGTTTTTTATTGCTTCAGTGTCCTGGATCAAAATGGCTCATGCATGTTTGATATAATTAATTTGACAATTAATTTAGGCCTAGGCAGCTTGGAAGCAGGCAGGACCTTTAGAGTTGGGTTATTTGAGGCAAGTTACATAACCAGTCTGAGCTTTATTGTCTTTCTTCATCGAATATAGTTGTTGGGAGCAGGGAATGAGATGACACCCAGTGTAGCAGCTTATTGATCTTCTTCTCTAATCCTCCTTCCCTTGCTTTTTAAACAAGTATTTCAGTTAGAGTTAATGAGATCCAGATGATAATGCCACAAACACAATCCTTGGTCTCTTGTTTCTCAAAAAAAGAATAAAAAGAAATTAACTACAAGTGATTGACCCTCCTGATTTTTTAAAAATACGTGGACACATGAATCATCTATGTATGTTACTACTGTATGTAAACAATGTGGCTTTGTGTGACCCAGACACGCCACTGATTTTATTAAAAAGGACTGTGCAACTGCTAATCTGGAATTCTTCCACATTCCTCAATATTGATTACTAAATTTGGAATTGAAGGGAGTTCTGACCATAATCACAAGAAACTAAAGTACAGGAGATGCTACTTTCCCTGATGCTTTTTTAGTTCCACTGACAGAAAATTACTCAGTAAACCCTTATGAGGATGCTTTCCCCTTGAGACTTAGACTTGGGTGTGTCTTAGCTGTTTTTACAAACAAGCTAACCTGATGGAAGTTCATTTTTATGCAAAGATACTTCTGCCCCATCATTTTAACTGTGTTTACTTATTCAAATACTACTCTGAATTATTACTTTTCAGACTCTTTTTTGATCACCCACAAACATAATTCAGGGCATTAGGCAGATCCAAGGCCTAATTCCTACCATGGACCTTAAAGTAAGTTTGATGAATTGCCTAGATGAAAGATGAGTAACTCTGCAGCTAGAAGTGTAGTCCCAGAATTTGAAGGGGCCTTAATGATCTCTAGTCCGGTCACACATTTGAAACTTAAATTTACTCTGTTGCTTCCCAGTCAAGTGATATGCAGCCTTTCAGAGTATCATCTGGAGACCCCAAGCTATTAAAAAGTTCTACTTTGACTTAAACCCCATAGCTTCCACCCTTGGCTCCAAATTCTCTTGGGGACATAAAAAGCAACTCTGCTTGCAGTTATGAGGCTTCAGACTTTTGAGGACAGGAACTGCATCCACTATAACTTCTAGTAACTTGATAAATGATTGCTAGATGGAGTTAAAAGCAGGAAATGTTATTCTTTATTTTGATGTATATCTTACAGATTAGAAAACGATGAATATATTTAAGTTCCATTGAGAAGGCATCATACACAGTAACTGATTTTATTGTTTAAATGCCATAGCTGATATATTTTATTCTTTCAGTCTTAAAATTCAACACCTTTACCTGTTTGTCTTATGTATTGGAGCTTACCCTCATTATAAAATAAGATATTCAGTAACATTATAGATATTAACTCTTAGACATCACATGTGTGGGACACAGTGGACACAGAGAAGTTGAGACCCCACTGAAGTAGGCATTAAGAATTCTGAGTTCCAGTCCCAGCCCCACGTCTACCATCTGAGTGACTTTGGCTCTTGGTTCCTCGTCTGCAAACTGCAAAGTCTGAATCAAATGTTCTCTTGTCCTCTCCAGTTTTAGAATTCATTTGTGTTTTTGACTTTTCTGTCCCATGTGGTAGAGTAGCCACAAAGTCAGAGAACTCAGACCCCTGATTTCCAGTTCAGTTCTCAATTTCCATTGCCAAGAACTATCCACTGTTAAAGCTAGGGATAGCTAAAGCTCCCCCACCCCTTTTCTCATTTCAGAACACTTTGCTCCAGGAAACAGTGCGCAGAGAGTGTGAAGAACGCTTTGAATTGACAGAGGCTTTGAGTCAAGCCCGAGAACAGCTCCTGGAGCTCAGCAAGCACAGTGGAAGTTTACCATTGTCACCGTGTTTCCCCAGCCAGGGCAGCCTAACCTCCTCCGCTGCAGCAGGCAGTAATCAGGGGGAGAGAAGCACTTCGAGACTGAACTCGGAAAAAGGAATCAGAATCCCCAGCCTGCACGGAGTGCCACAGCCCACCCTTTCTCCACCATCAGCTCAGCCCAAGAGGGTCAGCAACTCAGGTTTGCCCACTGTCCTTCAACCACATCCTCCCAGGGGTCGGGCATCTTCAGTGATTAAGACCAGACAGAGACTGGCTGTCCTTCTGTGGAGACTGAATCATCAGTGATTGGTCCAGAGTCCAGAGCACATCCACACGGCATTTCTGGTCGTTCCCTGAGTGCTGGAGACTCCCGGTCACCGAGGATGACCGAAGTCGAACCAGTACCGCAGATCACGAGTGCATGTCTATAGATATTTTTAACAAAAGAGTTGAAAAAGCTAGGCAATTGGGAAGCCACATTTTCAAGAGGCCTTTCAAATTGCAACAAATAATGGAATTATTGGGATTCCACTTTCTATATTTATGGATTGTATGTTTAGATATGCTCTATAAATATACCCCTTCAGAGATCATAGGTACAATTTTTCACCCATGGCATCTTTTGTATACATTTTTTTAACAAGCAGAAGTATCTCCACAAAAAAATAGATTGTAGTGGTTTCCTTGGTGTTTTTTCATTGGTTTGTTAAGCTGAATAGGTTAAAGAGATGTAATTAGTATTCCAAACAGACAATAAAAGTACATTAGTCTTTAATTAGATAATTTCCAACATGTTTAGTTCAGATTTTCACAGAGTTTATCATCATCACCACCACCACCATCAGCATCATCACCCCTTCTTCACCTCACAGTCTAATTGGTTCATCTAATTTTCTTTTAGGCTAGGTCAGAAGAAATGATAGGTAACTTTGAGGAAGGCATTCTTCCCTGGGAGGCTGGGGACCTTCTAACAAAAAGAGACCAGCAACTCCAGTTCAAGAAACAGGTAGTTTGCTTTTTCAGACTATGTCAGAGAAGAGACTATGTTAGAAAGCTGAAAACCTGGCCCTGAAAACATTACTCCATAGAGATTTTCTGCATTGAATGCTTTTTGGCACTCAGAGTTAGGTTTTGACTTGAACTTGTGTTCTCAAGCCATTGAGAAAGGAACTAATTCAAGACTTTAATAGAGACACATAGCACTAATTTGGGGTTCCAATTTTATTACTCCTGAAAATGAGCAACGGCTTAACATGTTTTCTGTTTCCAGTGTGAAACGTTAAAACCAGAAACCAGACAAGCTATTTTAAGTTATCATGAAGTTTCAGGCTCCACCTGTTTCTAAAAATACCTCTTTATCTTAAGCTAGTGTTCAGCTATCTTGTTCTCCAGCTAGGAGAAGTGCGTTTTTCTTCTAAGAATGGCTGTACTTAAACCTTCCTCCGACAGCATCATGGACATCATGGCTCCTTAGTCCCCCCATTAGAATGATGTAAGATGTGTGAAATATGACAGGTAAAACTCACTGTTACTGAGCTATCATATTGAGAAGAGAATCCAAACATACTTGAAATCCCTCCCTGGGGCAAAAAAAACTAAAGTTACTAAACAAAATCAACCAGTAGTAGATATTTTTTTTTATTTTAACCTCAGAAAAATTCCACATTAGATCCATTAATTTTCCTGACTAGTATAAACGAGCACATCTTATGTTAAGGCTTAGAATGCTTATTTTTGTTTTACAGAGATCGGTGTTCCTTATAATGGCATTTGACAAGAGAACATAACATCATAGAATAATGGTGCTGGGGTAGAGAGGTCACCCTCACAACCTCTTTACCATAAGGAGCACCCTGAAGGGGTCTGCTGGGCAGTGACGGAGCTAGAGCCACTGTTGCCTGATCCCAGCATGTCCACCTCGCTTTTCCAGTCACCAGAGATTCCCCGGCCCCCATCATGACTTTTGTCAGAAGCACCTACACTAAATTTACCTGCTATTTTCTTTAAATGCATTCACATTTAAAAAATATATTTGATTGATTGTGCTATTACAGTTGTCCCAAGTTTTCCCTCTTCTTCCCCCTCCACCTGGTACCCACCTTCCTTCCAGCAATCCCCCCAACCTTAGTTCATGTCCATGGGTCGTGCATATAACTTCTTGGGCTTCTCCATTTCTCATACTATTCTTAACCTCCCCCTGTCTATTTTTGTACCTGCCATTTATACTTCTTATTCCCTGTACCTTTTCCCCCATTCTCTGCCTTCCCCTCCCCAATGATAACCCTCCAAATGATCACCATATCTGTAAGTCTGTTCCTGTTCTGGTTGTATGCTTAGTTTGTTTGTTTGTTTTTTTTTAGATTCAGTTGTTGAGAGTTCTGAATTTGTTATCATTTTAATGTTCATAGTTTTTAAAAATATATTTTATTGATTATGCTATTACAGTTGTCCTATTTTTTCTCCCCTTTATTCCCTTCTGCCCTGTACTCCCCCTTCCGCCATCATTCCCCCACCTTAGTTCATACATATAAATTCTATGGCTTCTCCATTTCCCATACTATTTTTAACCTCCCCTTGTCTATTTTGTACCTACTGCTTATACTTCTTACTCCCTGTACATTTTCCCCCATTCTCCCTGCTGTCCCTTCCCACTGATGACCCTCCATGTGATCTCCATTTCTGTGATTCTGTTCCTGCTCTAGTTGTTTGCTTAGTTTGTTTTGTTTTTGTTTTTTAGGTTCAGTTGTTGATAGTTGTGAGTTTATTGTTACTATAATGATCATAGTTTTTGATCATATTCTTTTCTTAGATAAGTCCCTTTAACATTTCATATAATAAGGACTTGGTGATGATGAACTCCTTTAACTTGACCTTATCTGGGAAACACTTTATCTGCCCTTCCATTCTAAATGATAGCTTTGCTGGATAGAGTCATCTTGGGTATAGGTCCTCGCCTTTCATGACTTGGAATACTTGTTCCCAGACCCTTCTTGCCTGCAAGGTTTCTTTTGAGAAATCAGCTGATAGTCTCCTGGGGACTCCTTTGTAGGTAACTGTCTCCTTTTCTCTTGCTGCTTTTAAGATTCTCTCCCTATCTTTACTCTTGGGTAATATAATTATGATGTGTCTTGGTGTGGTCCTCTTTGGATTCAACTTGTTTGGGACTCTCTGTGCTTCTTGGACTTGTATGTCTATTTCCTTTGCCAAATTAGGGAAGTTTTCTTTCATTATTTTTTCAAATAAGTTTTCCATTTTTTTCTCTCCCTCTTTTCCTTCTGGTACCCCTATGATTTGGATGTTAGTACGTTTGGAGATGTCCCGAAGGCCTCTTATACTATTGTAGTTTTTTTTTAATTCCCATTCCTTCTTTTTGGTCTGGTTGAATGCTTATTTCTACTTTATGTTCCAAATTACTGATTTGAATCCCAGCTTCTTCTCCTTCACTATTGGTTCCCTATAGATTTTTCTTTATTTCACTTATTATAACCCTCATTTCTCCCTTTATATTTTTTCCATTCTCAGTGATCTTTCAGCATCCTACTCACCAGTATTCTGGAACTCTGCATCTTATAGGTTGGTTGTCTCCATTTTGTTTAGTTCTTTTTCTGGAGTTTTGTTGAGTTCTTTCATTTGGACCGTATTTCTTTGTATCCTCAATTCGGTAGCCTCCCTGTGTTTGTTTCTGTGTTTTAGGTAGAGTTGCTTTGACTCACTGTCTTAGTAGGGTGGCCTATGTAGAAAAAGCACTTGTAAATTGTGTGTGGTGGATGGAGCCTTAGGTAATTGCCAGGGTGCGGCAACCAACTTCACCACTTTGTGGCTCTCTGTGGCGGGAGGGCTTGGGGAGGGGACAGTGCTCCTGCCTGGCTTCTGGGGGTTTGCCCAGCACTCACCTCATTTCCAGTCGCTTCACCCAACTCCCAGTATGCAACTGGCACCCTTCCAGCTGTTGCCCTGGTGCTGAGTCCCAGCGTGGATGGATTTATATATGTTCTAAGATCGTGAGAGCCCCTTAAGCAGAGTCTCCAGAAAATCTGGCAGTTCCTTTCACTGCCCCAACCCCCACTGGTTTTTACAGCCAGAATTTATGGGGATTTATCTTCCTGGTGCTGGAAACCTGGGCTGTGCTGTCTGGCCTGGGGCTGGGATCACTCACTCCCAAGGTGTCCCTCTTGGTTTTTATCCACCACACATGAAAGTGGGACCACACATCCCACCGTCGCTGCTGCCTCTTGTGCCTCACCGCATCTCCTCGCCTCTTCACCCATCTTGCATCTCTGCCCCCGTACCCATCTGGATGAATATGGCTGCTTTAAATCCTTGGTTGTTGGACTTCCATACAGTTCAATTTTCTGATAGTTCTGGGTGTTACTTGTTTTGAGGTTTAGTTGTAACTATCTCTGTGGTTGCACAAAGAGGCAAAGCATGTCTACCTATGCCTCCATCTTGACTGGAAGTTGCATTCATATTTTTAACTGAAGGTTATGTCAAAAGGAAACCCAAGGAAGAATGTCTTTAAAATAATGAGGTTGATTTTCTAGTTATATTTTTCCCTGATGTGCTTAAAATAAATGTGTGTCTATTAAAATACTAAATATTAATATACCTTTAAAATTACCTTGTATAATGTGGGCAGTAATCATGCCCATTCTGGAGACCACTGCATTAAACCTCAGTGTGCCTGATCTGGTGCTTGTATGTTTACATTACAACTACTCATCACATGAGGGAGAAGGCAAAAGCTGGTGAAAGCTTTAGCAAAAGCATAAGAAAATATTTGGGACAACAGTCTTTGTTATCCAATTACACTTGTTTTTCTAGTTTGCAATCATAGCTCTCTTTGCAGGAACCAGAAAGATACATTTTTCCTAAATTTTTAAGATATTTAAATTTGTAAAGAAGGTCACACATAAGCTTTTCTAAGGTGATGTAAAGAGTGTCAGTGTGAAACGCAGTTTGTTTGCTGTTACTCTCTTGCTTTAACAATGAGTAATTCTGTAAATAATCATTCTGAGAATAAGTCATGATTGCAGTAACTGTGTCGTATTTCATGAGTATAGCAGAGAGGTGATTCCATAGATACACAGGGAGACAAGATTTACATTAGTTTCAACCTAGACAATTTGAATGGTCCAGTCTGAGCTATGTGTATGTCTTTTAAAGAATGACACTTGAAGAGAAGAACATTAGAGTAAGTAACCTGGGAGTTAAGAACACATTCGAACTTTTCCTTGATTTTCTCATTATGATGAACAAACTCCTGGCATAAAACAGTATCAGCAATGTCAAGAAAGTAGTGATTGTGGCAAAATAAAGTTCTCAAATACATAGAATGGATATTAAGTCTAATAGTTTTAATTTCTCTATAGGCATATGTTTTTAATGACCTCAGTGGGAGGATTTATAGGTCAAAAGCAAAGAATGTCATAGAAAAGATTTCTTTA